CCAACATGAAATAATACTACAAACTGACAGAATGTAAAGCAAATGGGTAATTAGTGTAAAGATTAATCTAGATTTCTTTTTCCAAAAATAAGGACAACTGCGGATGCTAGCTTTAGAGCAGGCTGCAGACCCCATGGCCTCTTCAGTCCTGCCTGAGAAGCTAGCCTGAGAAATTCATAGGAGGATTTCAAAACAATCCTCAGAGACCGAAAACAACTGCCAGGTGCTGTTTGTCTGTCCTCTTGTTTTCCTTGCAGGAGAAAGTCAGGGGGTGGTGAACCCCACTGACCAATGATGGTGATGTAGTGATTTACTGACCAATAAGAGTTTCCTTTCTGTACTTTCCACAAACTAATCTATATAACAAGCCTAGAGCAATAAACTAGAGATTCTCCTGTTGTGACTCCCTTGAGAGTCCGTGTCGTTCTTTCCCGCCGTTCCCAATTAGAACGACAGACTATTATCCTTTTCAAATGGGAACTATCTAATACCTTTAAAATTCCAAGGACAGCTGTTTTTAAAATGTTGAAAGTAGCCTGGACTAATGAAAATTTCTCTTTTTCACAACAATTCAAAGAATTATTTTCCCCATGTGTTCACGACGTTTTTATCCGCATCTCATTCTTTGCCTGTCAAAAGAAGTTGTGATGTTAAGACTGTAAAATTCAAGGGATCTATACTGGCATAACTAGATTTTGAGGTGATTTTTACACTTAACCTAAGTGTCTTTCATAAATAGTTCATCAGCAGGATTCAAATGCATCTAAGGTTTTCTGTTACACTTCAAAGCTGAATCACAAGTACTCATCTTCACCATACTTCAAAAATTGAGCAATTGGCTAATTGCCCACCATTAGTGAAATCAACCTACAGGAAACAACGAAGCTTGCCATCGCCCTTGCCCTCCAGGAATACACTGTATTTAGGATACAGCAAATAAATTAACAAATATAAAAATCTGCTCCTCACCAAAAACAATCACCCATCAACCCTTTCCTCCCAAACCACATCACAAGTCCCATGCCCTCTCAAATAATTTAACTTAAGTATTGGGCAGGGAGATAGAGCTTATTTATGATTTGAAAAGATGAGGAAAAAAGTTTGAAAAATAAAAATAGGGTAGCTGTGTTTTGTTGAGCTAACTCCAGAGGATCTAGTCTTAAAGCAGCAACTTCTACTTGAGGTAAAGCCCACTTAGGTAGCACTGTACCTCGCTATTCCATAAATGCACCAAGTCCAACATTTGATAAAGAGCCACCTCCACAGCAGAAAAATATCCCAAACAGCTGGCTATAAGGGGAATTAATTTCCTGACCTAACTTTGCCTCCAGTTCCACTCAGAATCCATCCCAACTGCCTCACTACATTTTTCATTTTGGTGATACAACATACGACTTAAGTCACACAGGGAATCAAGGTTGAAAGGATAATGTTGTTAAGACTCATTTTTCAGCATGAATGTTGCTGTACCAATGACAGCAATAGAATAAATGTTACTGTAAATAGCAGTCAGTTATTTTTGCCAATACAGCATGAAAATATTTTCTGCTTAAGTCATTCTAAGTGCTCACACTGCAGCGGAAAAAGATCGATTTGGGAAAATATATGTAAAGATGCAGTTGCAAGCTGACTCGTGTATGAGACAGCTGAGGTTTCAAACATCTTCATGCCCAATGAAAACTAAATTATTCATTTATTTTGGTTATTTTAGGGGGAAAAAAAGAAGAAAAGAGAAAAGAAAAGCACATTCCCTGCAGAATGGATATGCTTAATTTGATTTCACAAATGAGTACAGTTTTGAGACAAATGATAGTTTGAAGCCAAATTTTCAATTCCTCCTGAGGTTTACCATTTCCAGGTACCTTTAGAACAGGTTTGGGTGCCCAACATTTCCAAAGCAGGCATTTTTCAGGAGATAATGGAAGCATGGAAGAATTAATTCCACTTCCTTACCATCTTCCACTTCCTTACCAACTGTATTTATTTCTCCAAAGACAGACACACTTCTGATGACAAAGGGAGACAACATAAATTAATCATTAAAAAAGAGAACAAACAAAAAATCTGAGACTATTCTATTCTTTGTTTACTAGGAGGTAGATGATGGCTCCTTCTATTTCATCCTTTCTACCTGAGTATTGTAGCTGAGCATCTAAACCCCTATTTTAATTTCTCTAGTATTTAGCTTTTTCTCCCTTAAAAAGTTACATAACAGTTACAAATTCTGAAGCTTTATCAGCTCATGCTCCATTGACATTTTCCTCAACTCAAGGTTTCCTTCATAATGCACTCTAATAAGGTAGAAATGCTTTTTTAAAAAGTATTTAAAAATTATGAAAAAGAAAACAGCAGAGGGGAAAACTACTAGAAAAGTCTAGAAAATCTAGAGGAAAACAAGAAGCAAAAGCTCACAGAGAGCCAAGATTTACTGAAGCTCACTTTCAGTTAGCTGAAGAGTTTTGCTGTAAAACCAGCTAAGCAAGGGTTTTACATCCACATGCAAACATTCAACTTGAATGCTGGAAAGTACAGATTTTCACGTACTTCTCAAGAAGCACAAAACTGACTCCTACTCAAATCAATTTTTATGTGCTATTTTTGAATTAGCATCATGATGCCACGATTTCAAGACAGGCAAGTTGCATTTACAAATTTTATATTTCCATATTCAGAGTGACAAAAGGGAACATAGGCTGCCCCAAGACACGAGAACAAAAGTTCTCGTTTTCTATTAAGTGAAAATAGTCTATGCCTGTAATAAATTGCAGCAATGTGAAATCATGCACAGTTTCATTAGCCAAAAATGACTGCTCTTAAGTTGTGTAAACAAACACTTCCAAAATATTTAGTCTTAATAAATAAGTCTTACAAACACATACGTAAACATAGCAATTGCAGTATATTAAAGCATGTTTCACATCAATTTTCAGTGAATTTTATGCAAGCAAGGAAAACTATCAGAATTTCCTGGAAATCATTACAAGTTTAATTTAATTTTAACAGCTCTGAGAGACAGCTTACTTTCCTTCAAGAGTCCACTGCAAAAAGTTTCTAAGAGCATCTCACACAATCAGGAGCCAACTTCATGAAGTGCCTTGGTGGCAGAACCCAGGGCACCTCCAGAAAAGGGGCACTGGATGTGCAGTATTGATGCAGTAGAGATTAAGAAAGTATATCTATGACTGTACTTAGACAACTCAAAAAAAACCCAACAAAAATCAAACCCAAAAAAAAAAAACCCACACTACAAAAAAACAACACACACTTTTTTTCCTATGTTGTGTGTACCCATTCGTTTTTTTCTAGGTTTCATAAACTAAAATAGTTTCTGTTGTGTCCACTTCCCAACCAGGCTTTATTCAGTTCAATTAGGAGTAAACCAGTTCTACTGAGTCCCTTCAAAGCTTAATTTCAAATGACTGAACATGGTCTCAATAATCCCACCTGCACTCCTTTACAAGACTTAAGAGTGTCAAAACTGAAGTCAATCATGGATACAAAATTTGTATCATGGATTATATCCATGATACTTTCAATCAAACAGAAATCCTTATCTCACAGCCCTGGGAAGTTGTACCTTTTGTCTATTATGACAGTTCCCCGTGGGTCATTTTTTCTTCAAATGTCGTATGTACAAATGAACTTTGGTAACAGTTAACAGCAAATGAGCTACAGCTCCCTGTATCAATATGGGTAATTTTACACTGACAAAATTGTCCACCAGTTAAATAGCATATGTTCTGAACTAGACAGATATAAAATTAATGCTCCAGGACTGTGGAGAAGCTTGATGCACCCTGTGTCCCATTTTGTCATTTAATTTTAGATAATAATTACACAATACATCATTTCTTAATGTAACCAAATACAAAGCAAAGAATATTGATGATGTGTATTTATTTTGCAGATGCTAATATAGCAAAGAAATCTTTCACTCTTGGGCAGGATTACATTTTTCCCATGGAACCTGAAATTCAGTTATTTGGCATAAAAGCGTACTCCTGCTTTTAGTGAGTATCAAGAAATGAAGTAATAGCTAGACCTGAATTAATTCTGTTTGAGTTCTGAGCTGGCAGGAGAGGCACAGGACAGAAAGGCACAAAAAACCCTGAGGTGGATCAGCTAATTAAAATCTAATTAGGGAAACAATCCCTTGTCCCAAAGGGTGCTTAGACAAAATCTTAGGTGCCCACACAGCTGCAGCTTTCATGGAAGGAATGTATGTGCTGAATGTCCTCCTGAATGTGGTGACCCTACAGGACTTCTCTGCAGTGTTTAAGTTTTCTGCTGTGAGAGCGGGGGTGGAAACTCCCTCTCTACTTAAAAATACTGAAGACATCCGTGCTTTAAACACATTCCATCAAAAAAAGAATCTTAAAATTCTGTTATAACTAACAGCCTTAACAATACAATAAAACACATTTTCATGTGCTTAGTTTTTTTTTAATCACTGTATCACTTATTTAACTTCAGTCACTGGAAAGTATTTTGCCAATCCTTAAAGCAGCAGTAGCCAAGCATTAGTAGCTCATATGCTAACAAAAGGTCCAGCAAGTGTAAGAATATTTCTTATTTTATGCAATGACCTCTATTATGGAGGAAAAAAAATGTATTTCCTTTTCTACTAAAGAATCTCAAAGATGTGAGAAGCAGCTCATGGAAAAAGTAGTGACAGTTTATCAGGCATGTGCATGGCCCTTCAAGATTGCTGGTACATGTGCTTATCTGCTTCTGATCAGACAACTGTCAACACAATCTCTTCAAAGAAGCCTTTACAAGCAGTGAACCTAGACAGTAGCCACTTCAGAGGCTGACAAGTCCCTAGAAAAGTACAGTCAGTGTTATCAGTGTTTAGCTGAATGATTAACATAGCCTTAGGCTAGTAATTCTATAGCAGGTGTGAAACTCTGTATCTTTAATTTCTGGTCTTGGAGTGACATTATCAGGTAAATGAACCCAAAACCACCTACAAAACTCCCCCCATCACTTCTCCCGCTTACCAGCTCCTCACGAAGCTGAGCTATGAGTTCATCTCTCTCCTTCAGCTGCAGCTTCAGCAGTGAGCATTCATCTTTTATTCCATCCTAGAAAAACATCAAAAGAGATGTTATAATAGGCTTAACGCTTCTACTTTGCTCATGACAAGAAAAGGCTGTTTCACATAGTGTGAGATAATTACATTCAAATAATGAAACTCAATTTTCCTTTGTCATGTGTGGTATTTTCAATAACATTTTCTAAGTTGCAGCATAAACAAATTAATGTATCCAAAGACATTGCATAGAAATTTGAATAGCTCCCTGCACAGAAGTCCATTTCATTGTTTTCTGAATCTTTTAACTCTTTTTACTGAAGATCATATCAGGTCATTCCTCCTCATTTGAGAAACAGCTATGAAATGTTGTAATTTTAATCATACAAAACAACATTAGAGAAATATCAATTTAGAGCATTATTGCAGAGATCTTGATCTTGGAGAGATGAAAAAGAGCACAACAGACATCCACAGGCAAAGGAAAGCACCCTCTCCATCTTTTGTCCCACATCAAGTAAACCAGCAGCATTTCTGGTATTAACTGGGGGAGGAAAGAATACAGTTACCACTTAGAGAAATAATCACCGTAACTCAATTTGACCTGCACAAAAGACCCTACTAGCTAAAACTTTAGCCAAACCCATGTCCAGGAGATAGGCTGCAAGCTGTCCCCAGGAAATCTCATGAGTTTATGCAAGTCTCAGCATCATATTTGAAGAAGAAATATCAATCATGTAGTTTTCTGTTGTTCTGATAGACATCCCAGATGATAAACTCAATTCACAGATGGAACTGTTATAAACTAAAAACCTAGCAAACTAACCAGCCATCTAGCTGGTTATACAGCTGTAACTGAAGAACTCTATTTTTACATCCTTCTATCATGGAAACATTTAGTTTGGGAACTTCATTAATTTGGAGTATTATTACTGAAATTAAAAAAACCAACATAAACCCACAAGACATATATGACAAGAAAACTTTTGGAAATCTGGTGGTATATTCACAACACTTACAGTGAAAATAAAAAAATTGGACCTCTAGCTATCAGCTAATAACAGCGTAAGAGTGCAGAAATTATTTAGATTGTGTAGAGTTAAGAGGTGTAAAGGGTATAGCCAGCGTGATAAACTTGCACTCTGCCAGTACTAATGTGTTTGTAAATCCAAATAAACACAGAAATACAGGACAAGAAAAGTAGAGTGTGATCCCATTTTCCTCACATAAAAAGTTATAATTATTATCTTTCGAAGTAATTGTATTGCTCATCATCTCCTCTAACAGAATTGGAAGAAGAGACAAGACACACATCAATATTGCTAATATTTAAAACAACTGCAATAGAAAGAGTTACACCATTTCTGGCCTCTTACACACTACGTCAGTGCTACTATAGATCTTCTGAAAGACACAAATTTAGAAAAAAGCCAGAACTCCCATTATTTCTGTTAGGGAAAAACTCATGGAAGTTTTCTTCATTACAAGCAATAGCAGCATTTTACCATCTACCAGGAGATTGATGTTTAGGCACATTAGCTGAAAATAAAATTTTAGTGCGTGCCAGAATACAGCCCGCAGCACTGAATATGATATTAGTACATGTTTAGCATTACTGTTAGCCAAAATATCTGCTTCTAAAAAAATATGGTTTTAAGTATCAGCAACTATTATTTTATCAAAATGAGGTCTTTATCTAACAAAATGTTTTAAAAACAGTGTGGCATTAGCTACAGTACCTCAAATTTTTGTTACATTGTTCTGAGTTCTTTTTGCCAGCACAGCTTTACACTGTTGCTACCTTTTGAATTTCTACTTTTTAACTTAGAATAAAATAGTTCAATACTCAGTGGAGAAAGAAAAACATCAAGGTCCGATAGCCAAGACTATTTCAGAAACATCTTCTGGAAAGCATACCCAAGAAAATGCAGCAATGAGGCCTTGTAACAGCATGCCTCAACCACAGCAGGAAGGATTTTTGAGATGAGCTTTGGTACTAGGTTTTGTCTAAAAGGCGAAGCAGAACTCCCTTGGACTAGTGAGAGCTTGAAGAAAGATTCTGCCCCACGGAGCTTCCAAAGACTTAAAACCTCTCCTGGCAAAAAGCAGTCGAGCTGGATCTTCCTCACGTGTGCAAGGCACAGTTCTCCAGGCACTTAACTTCCATATTCCGTGCAACAACTGTCTCATCAAATTTGGACCATAACTATCCTTAGAGCTTGGAGAAAAGCATGTAGGGATAAGGTTTTTGCCTTGCATTGCTTCATTGCAGCAAAACTCTGATGCACACTTCCAGTGGGATGTGGTGCTTGGAAATCAGTGACTTTATCAACTCCTTATTATCAATGTGCAGGCTACCACGGCCTTGTAAAAGAGCACGCTGCAATTTCTGGGGTACTTGAGACTCTTAGGTTTGGACTCCACAATGATTTTGGCTGAGGTAAACTTTCTTCACAGCAGCTTGTATGGTGCTGTGGATTTGATTTGGTCTGGAAGCAGTGTTGATAACACAGAGATTATTTTGGTTTTTCCAAGCAGCAATTACACAGCGTCAAAGCCTTTTCTGCTCCCCGTGCCGCTGCTGCAGTGAGGAGAGAGGGGTGGCACAAAGGAGCTGGGAGGGGACACAGCCAACACAGCCAACTGATCCAAGGAACATTCCATAAAATATGGCATCATGATGGGTACATAAAGCAAGGGAAAGAAAGAGGAAAGAGTGATGGTGCTCATCTTCCCAAGTCACCGCTACACACAATAGAGTCCTGCTTTCTTGGAGCAGCAGATAGCTGTTTGTTGTTGAATGCAGAGCAGAATTAGGATTTTATAATCTCATTTTGCTGCACAGTATCTGCAAAAGCATCAATCTTTCTTCAAATGCAAAAGCGTGAATAAAAGAAAGAAAAACACATTGTCAAGCAGTTGACTGCAAAAAGGTTTGGGCAATTTCAATATCCCATACACCTGTCTGAATGTAGCACTAACAGAATAAAAAATGCTGTGGAAAAAACTGCTGCCAAAACACTGAATATAGACCCTCCAGAAAATAACTACTGAAAGCTATGGCAGGAGAAGAGGCTTGGAAAATCCTTTTGTCATGCATGAACCAAAACATTTCAGTGAAGGATTGTGTGAATGATATTGAAGAAATCACGTTACTGAAAGGTGTGGAAGGCAGCAAAAACTGGTGGAATGCTGCGCTATTCATTAGTCTGTGGGCAAACAGCAACGTATATCTGATAGTGTGAATTCGGGAATGGATCATTTCTACTCCTTAGGAGGTCTGAAATGCTTCATTATCCGCTGAGAAACTATAATACAGGGCAAAGCTGCTGTGGAAAGACCAAGTATTTTTTTGAGAAAAGCTTCTCAAGGTGAATGAGAAATAGCAGACATAGTGTGATGGGGATTTATAGTAAAAAAAACAACAACAAAATAAAGCCCAAACCCAAACCTCCCAAAAACCCAGTAATGCCTCCTAATGAATTGTAACAGCAACAGATCTTGAAGAGGAAATAACTTGAAAAGGATGGCCTGCTTTTAGGAAAGCATGCACTCAGTGTATGCTAAATCTACACTGCAATTACTAAGCTGAAAAAACCCCATTTCCCTCATAAAGTAGGGCTTTCTAAATACGATTTGAATACTCTGGGGCTGTGAGAGCTGGCCTCTTAGCTACCTCCGCATTCTAATAGATATCTGACCCATGTATTCCTTTGTTTAGAAAAATAAGCCCAATTACAGTGCAGGCATGACCACATTTGCAAAATATGTCTCCTCCTTACAATATTTATAGAGTGTAAAAGAGCAGACTGTCATATAAGTGGAGTTCAGAAGCCAACTAAAAGCAATTAAATGCCCACAGATATGAAAGTCTGCCAGGTGACATTTACTTTTGCATTTACTGAACCAATACCCTCTGCCACTTTGATTCCTTATGTTTCTGCAAAATGAGTTTATGCCAACATTTTATCAAGGCTACCAGTCCAATAAGAACATGAATGCTATGGAATTATCAGTCCAAATAATTCAATCTACACTCTAGGCATGTTTTCATAAGCTACTCATATACACTTTAGCTTTCAGGCCATTTTGCAGAACTTAATAAATTATATATCCTACATATTACATTGTCATTATTATTCTCATTGTTTTTTATGAATGCTGTTCATTATTTTATTAAGAAAAAAAGGATAAGAATTCTGCTTTCAATTGTAGTAAGCATGTCCATGACTCTGGAAATGCTTGATAAAAAGTCAATTAACACCTCATTGTTAAAGAGAACTGTCAGACAGTATAATCTGTAAATAGTACATCTTCAAACTATTTTTATTTTATTAAATATAATCAAAACAAGTTTTGCAGACTAAATTCCCAGTGTATTTCATAAAAATGCAGAAGTAGCTGTGTGCAAAAAGCTATCTATCATTTTCCTCACTTGCATCCCCTGATACTTAAAAAATCCACTATTTAGGTGCAAGTTCATGATAGATCTGCTGTTATTATTGCATACGTTTATGGTCAGAATATTCTTCAGATTATCACCCCTTTAGTTATTTTCAGCTGCCAGCTATGACAGTGATTGCTATCTCTCAGTGCCAGTATTTTCCTACTTTAGTTTAATTCTGCTCATTTGGGAAAATAATAGCAAATCTGTTTCTCCTCAGATCAGGTCACAAGATGAAAAATTGTGCTATGTGTGAAGACAGCTGCAGCAGGTTATGCATAAGTGCCAAAAAGAATAATCATTTTAATTTGATAACCTATGTTATATTTCTTCATGCTTTGGAACAAGAGGCATGACGTGCTTACTGTAATCAAAGTGCTATAAACAGAACTAACCAAGTACTCTGGAAGATAAATTTAGTGCTTTTCCTCTGATACTAAACAGAATATATTTCCAAAGAAATACCATAAAATTAGAATATAATAAAACTCATTTGATAAATGTGCTGAATTTCAGATGTTAAATAGATTGTTTACCAACTTGGTACTGCAAAAAACAACAAACACGTAGAATATAGTGTCTTAAGAAATAACCCTGGAATAAATAAA